TTTTACAACTGTCTCTACTAATTTTTTTAAATTAGGCAACCGAAACAAAATAATAACATTCTATTTAATTATTTAGAATACACATGAAGGGCTAGATATATTCGCAAAAGTTTAGAAAAAGAACGCCAAAGCTATTTGATGACAAACGTTTCAAATGTTTATTTTTTTAAATCCATAATAAATTACATTATTTAATACCAAGTTGACCTATTTTTTAAAAAAAACATTTTTAAGGTAATAAAATATAGCTAAATTTACCTAATAACCCTGACAATTATATAAATTTTCTTTAAAATGCAGAAACTTGTAAGTTAGATACTTTGGCAAATAAGCAAAAATAACAAAAATTAATGTTTGTTAAAAATATTTATAAAAAGTAATAAAGTTGTACATTGTATTGATGTCTAATCCTATTAATGTCAAATGCTTAATTTGTCATTTGATGTCAAATGGTAGATAGTGAGAACAAGAGCAAAATTAGGTGTCAAATGAGGCATTAGATATTTGGCATTCAACATCTGATCTTGTTCTTGCACCCGCCATCTGGTATTTGACTGCTGATTTTGTCCTCGCCACTGGGGATTTTAAACTGCACCCCTTATATATTATTTGTGTGGGGTGTATTCTATCACGTGCTAGGCGCTTGCAATGATACACTTCAGAGGAGAACACCCCTGAACCTGAAGAATAAAGCTTATTTTGTCTATAAAACTGCATTTTTTCAAAATAAATGATATTTAATTTTGCAAGCAAAGATATTAAAATGTGAATATAAATAAAAAAATTAATCTAACTCCATAAAATAGTACAATAATACCCAAAAATTTAAGAGCAAAATCCAGGTCAGAACTCAACACCTCCCAACTGTTTTCGAGACCTGCTCGAGGGGAGCAACCAATCGCTGTTCTTTTTTTAGAAAAAATGAACAGAGGTTGGTTGCCTCTCAAACGGGTTTCGGAAAGGGTCTGGGGGGTGCCAAATCATGACCAGGATTTTGCATGCTGCAAAGATATAAAAATGCAAATATAACAAAAAATTAACCAAAATTCCATAAAATAGCACAATAATAACCAAAAATTAAAGAGCAAACATAACAGCATGCAAAATCCAGGTCAGAGCTTGACAACCTTGGACGGTTTTTGAGACCCATTCGAGGGTGGCAACTGACCACTGTTTTTGTTTTTTTTTTAAGAAAAAATGAACAGTGGTTGGTTGCCACTCTCGAACGGGTCTCAGAAAGGGTCCAGAAAGTGCCAAGTAACATCCAAGATTTTGCAGGTTGCACATGGTACAACTAGTTCAAAAAATAGCATTCAAAAATAACATCAAAGGACTACAATTTATACTGCTGTTGCTTTTACTAGAGGTGGTTGCAGGTTAACAATGGCAGCAGCAATTATCCATATATCATCTATTAGAGGGACTAATGTAATAGGCAGAGTGTTCTTTAGAAGTCGAAATTCTTTCAGCCTTCTAATGACACGTTCAATGTGTATTCTTGCGGGTGCTATGCGCTTACAATGATACACTTCAGAGGATGTAAACTGTCGCTTATTATGTAAAAATGGTAGAACTACAGCTTTTACCTGCCTTGATAGAAATAAATCTTGAACATTAAACCTTTGTCAAAAAGTGCAATAAAACTGGTAGTGAATTTTCTTGCAACATTGCAATCTTTAGTGATAAAACAGCCTGAGGAAGATCCAGACTAACCTTTATCAAACAAAAGCAATAAAACTGCCTTTAGTACAAAATATAACTTTTTTTAATGTGTTTCTACTTTTATAAGAACTTTTGATATTGAGCTGTTTGATATTGAGCTTTAGCATTGGCAGATTTTTGATTTGTTTGTTCAGTACAGTCACCAATACCTTCAACATAAACAAAATCTCCAATAAAATGAGGATGTATAAAACTTAATGTTTCTTGTAGAGTAGGCCAATATATTAATGGTTCAAGTTCTCGGGCTAATAAAGTTATAAATGTAGTTAAAATCCTAGACGAATGACTTACTGAAATTTTAAAGCGAAATGCTAAATCTTGTGAGTCAAGTCAAATACACATTAAAGTAAGTAACACTTCATCTTCAACAAAAAGCAGTCCTACTGGACCAGGTTTCCTTCTACTTGAAGGTTTACTAGCAGGACTAAATTGATATTGTTTTGGCTCAGTTGGCTTCCCATATTCAAAATGATTTGCACATACTTTCGTATTCTTATTAACAGCATATAGCTTTCTTTTTTTTTGTTAAATGGTCGACTATTTCTCTGTTAACAATTTTACTCCATGTGGAAAAATATTGTTCTTTACAAGTGAAAATTTTAACCCAGCTAAGGGGTTGTCCATAAAGTACATACCCCAAAAATTTTGAAATCTGACCCCCTCTCTCTGTTGCTAAGTCATATAGGCTACTCGTACTACCGTACCCGTAGCTAGATAGCCTACCCGTATCCCTTAATTTGGGGGGGGGGGTTAAATTAAGTTAAATTAACAAAAAATTTTGTGTCTTTGTTAATTTAAGGAGCTTTTTATTTTAGCAAAACCTAGCAGTAAAATTTGGGAGATTTTGAGACCCAAATGACAGATTTTGGGGGGGGGCCTCCGACCCATTAGCCATGGTACTGCTAAAAGCTGTTTTTGTCGACTCAAAAAATATATTGCCTGAAATATGCTTTTCTCAGAGCCAGTATATAAAGGGTGGCATGTGGGTATGGGCTCCCGCAGGATTTTCAACTAGGCTTATATTCCTCGATAAATTTATAATTTTCATAGTAAAATATTTTAGTGTTCAAAAAATATAACCATATAAAGTTTAAACTAGGGTTAGCACTATTGTAATTGTAATAAAAACAATAACAGTAACAATAACTATTGTTATTGTATTAACTTAATTTAGAAACAATAACAATACTTGTGATTTACAATTATTGTAATACTGTAATACAATAACAATAAATATTGTATTGCAGTTCATCCTCACAATACAATAACAATATCTGGAAAAAAAAAGTATTGTAATGACCCACTACAATAACAATAGATATTGTATTGTAGTTTGTCTTTATAATACAATAACAATATATTGTTATTTTAATTAAAAAAATTATTTTAATGTCAAAATTTAATAAATGTTTTAACAGTCCAGTCTCCGAGATATGTGACTTGGAAATAGGGTACAACTAATATATAATTATTGATTCTATTTTTATTTTATTTACTGAATATCACATGTCCTCGTTGCAAACTTTATATAACACTATAAAAGTTAGTTTAATCTGACCTGTATTTCTTTTACGACTGGGGATAGACATGATCAATTACTACCATTTCTTCCACTTGGTTATTAGCTTTTACATTAGGCACCTATCCAATTATTTCGAAACTTACTCAAGTCACACTTACTCTAATATAACTTTGTCATTTGTTTCCCCGAGGCTTTATGGCTGTATGTGTTTCATAAAATATCTGGACATCTAGTTGTAAAGTTTTAAAAGAATTTTGTTACATAAATCAAAAACAATATTTATTTGGTATTCTAAACTACCTCATTTTTCAAAAATAACCCCCACAAAATTTACTGGTACGGTCTGATAGGTGATCTGAATCTGAAAATGAACAATCTGAAAATGTAGAAATTTTTTTACAAAACAAAAGTAGTTCACATTTTCAGACAATCTAATCGATAATTACCCTGGTCAATGGTTCTCTGATTCCATAAAGCTGTAATTTATTACACATTAGCGGTTAATTATAATAAGAAAAAAATTATTTTCACGTGCTTTATGTATTTAATCAATTAGTTTAGACGTCATCATCCAGTGAAACATGTCAATATTAGTTTAGATAAAAAAAAAAAAATTCACTTCACAAAGTAAATAATTATTTAAATACAAGCATATGATAAATTATATATTTGTATGATTTTGAATGAATATTATTAATGTTATTTCTAAATAAATTTTTATTTAAACAGATAAATTATTTAACTCAAAATAAATAAATTTTATATATGTAAATGGTTGCTAGAAAGGGGTGCCATGAGCACCCTGAATTTAATATCAATTAAGTATAAGTAATATATATATTTATATACATCTATGGCTTTCGTGACTTCAGTTCACTGCTCAAAATAAATAAAATTTATATATAAATGACTGCTGAAAACAAGCGTCACATGCACCTCTAAATTTTCTAGTGCCCAAATAGTAATAAATGTGTGAATCTAAATACTATAAAATACAATTAGACTATTAAATAGTAATACAATACACCACACTTATTGTAATTATTGTTTATCCCAGCTATACAAAACAATAGCTTATGTAATTGTTTTACATCATTGCAATACAATACAACAGTTTTAGAGTTTCATGTATTGTTAGGAAAAAAAACATTACAATAGTTACTGTAATTGTTTTTATTCACATCAATACAATAACCATAAAAAATGTTTTAATTATATCTCTGGTATTACAATACAATATTATTGTATTGTAATTGTTATTGTATTTAATTTTTACAATTACAATTACAATAGTCCGAACCCGAGTTTAAACCTCCTCATTTTGAGGGGGTTGCAAATTTTATATGGTCATAATTTTTGAGTGCTGAGAAATCATACTAAGAAACTTTAAATTTTAAGTTTCGTAGTATAGTTTCATATTTTTTGAACGCTAAGTCTAGTTTAAAATAGTTCAAAAAAATTTTCATAATAATATATTTTTGATTGAAAAAAAAAATTGTATTGTATTTTAAATTAAAATACAATTAAAATTTTTTTTCTTTTAATCAAAAATATATTTAGAAGCTCCAGATATGGTATTTAAAGCTAATTTAGTAATATTTAAGAAAAAAATAATTTTGGTGCAAAATTGGGCAATCTGACCCACTGTGTGATGTACAGAGAAACAAGTTGAGTATGAAATAATTTATTTGTTCCAAACAATAAAAGTTAAGCCTCCTACCCACTACCTAGCTAATCTTTTTTTATTTTGATTTAGATTTAGAGCTATTTACAAATTTTTTGCCAATATATCTTGATCCAGATGGTATAGATACTCAGTTGCGTTGTAATTTGTTGTGTGCTTTAAAGGTACTGATAATTTACTTATTTGTTATTTTTTTATTTAATTTATTTAAAGCATTGAATTATTTTTTTGGTAAATCAAAGCATAGTTGGTTTAGTTTTATCTACCTTATTGCCAATATACAGTGTGTGCAAAAAGTATCTGATACAAAGGAAAAACTTTATTTAATTAAAGTCTATTTAACAAAATAACAAACAAATATTGTTTTAATGTAATTTTACATAGGAAATACAAATATCATATCAAAAAAAACAATATTATTAAATGTTGACTTGATAATTGCAATATTGTAAAATTTAAGGTTCAAAAAGTATCCAACACATTGTAAATAAAGAATTTAATTAGCCAATAATTTGTCATCCGTTGTGTGCGTGGAAATATTTTAGAATTAGAAAATGAAGGGACATTCTAGAATGCAAAATTACTTCAAATTTTTCTAATTTCAGTCATTCACTATCAAACATCGTGATTAGAAGGTGGCCTAAAATTTGTGCTCTTCAACAATGCCTAAAACTGCAGTATTGTCTAAAACAACTAGAAAATCAATTATTCAGCTGCACAAAGATGGTTCAGGATATAGAAAAATTTCATCTGTGTTAAATATCCCAATTTCAACAGTTGGTGATACATTCGAAGGTGGAAATCCTTTCATCTTACAGCTAGTCTGCCTTGTTCAGGAAAATTTCTGACCGTATGGCTAGGAATTTAGTTCGAAAAGTACAGAAAAATCCTTGACTGACTCGCTCTGAACTGCAAAAGGACTTGCAATCATCTGGGACGAATGTATGCAAGAATACAATAAGAACAATTCTTTGAAAGAGAGGATTCCAATCTCGGTTACCAAGAAAAACTCCCCTCTTGAAGAAAATTTCCATAAAAAACTGCCTGAACTTTGCTAAAGAACACTTAAGTAAACCTTCAAGCTTTCGGGTTAAAATATTATGGTCAGATGAGACTAAATTAGAGTTGTTTGGTTGGAACTGTGCTAGTCGTGTTTGGAGAAAAACTCTGCGATTGACCCGAAGATTATCATCTCAACAGTGAAGTTTAGAGGTGGCAGCATAGTGCTTTGGGGTTATTTCTCTTCTGCAGGCTCTGGGGAAACCCGGGGCTGGGTTTGTGACTGGGGCTGCATAAACATTTATACATTCTAAAGTACTTTTTTTTATTCAAATTTTTTTTTTTTTGTATATATATATGCATATATAAACATCATTATGATCAACATGATCATCATAATCATCATTATCATGATGATGATGATGATGATCATCATCAACAGCATAAAAGAGGAAGGCTAAAGCCTGATGATATTGACGATGATGATGATGATGATGATGATGATGATGATGATGATGATGATGATGATGATGATGATGATGATGATGATGAAGATTCTCATCATCATTATTATCATCATCAGGCTTTAGCCTTTTTTTTTTTTTACTGTTTCTTTAATATAAACAATCTAGAGCATTTTTTCAAGTTAAACTATCTAGAGCACTCTCTTCAAGTTTTCTTACTTCTACCATTTTCTACTGAAACAGCTACCTCTCTACATGCTGATACAGGGTGGTCACAGCTCCTCTAAAGTCCTCTTTTTTCAAAAACCTCCTCTAAAATCCTCTATTATCCTCTAAAAAGTTGAAAATATTGTAAAATCTCCTCTTTAAGTCATCTATTTTATTTTATTTTTATTTCTTGATGGTAGTGTAATCTTCAAAATTCATGGTCTGCAAAATGCGTAACATCTGAAATGAGAATTGGGTTGTAAAAAATCAGTTTTAGCAAATCCATGCCATCTAACAAAAAATTACATTGTTGACCCCTGTCCAGACTCCAGTTATCTGGAAACATAGGCGTTAAACCTTGAAAAAAAATCCTTTAAAATCCTCTATTTTTATTCAAAATTTTGTAGTTTTACGAGAAAAATCCTCTAAATTAAACGCAAAATCTCCTCTAAAATCCTCTAATATTCTCTTTTTCTTATAAAAATTTTATGTAGCCACCCTGTGATACCTAAATTACTTTAATATTTTCTAACAAATGCTGTTGAATACATTTCTTCTAATGTCTAAGAATATGCCTCTTTTTCTAGTCTTGTTATAGTCACACCACACATCCATCTGATCATCTTCTATTTCGGCATATACTTCAAATAAATACTAAAGTTTATATAACAATGAAAGGATATTGTATGCCAGCATCTTAATAAATAGCAAACATATATGTTTATATCCATAATATGCATGCATAAGGTGCATCTTAGAAGCTTTTATTACTTCTGGAATAAAAGTTTGGAAGCTTGTAATACTTCTCTTCAATTTTAAATCAAGCCTCATTCTACTCTAAATTTTTCACCATCTTGAGCAGTTGCTTTATTAAACATTAAACTTTTTTTTTCATCTTTTTTACAAGAACATCTCTCTTATAAAAAATGTCCTTTTATTAAAATGTAAAAAAGTCCTGTCTGATGTTAAGCTTTGTCTCACTTTTTACTAAATCTTGTATCTTATCTCAGATGTTAGGTTCTAGAGACTTTAGGTTAGTCTTCAACAATGTCATTAACTAATGTAAGTCTAGCATTTATATTCTAATTCATGGGTCTGATCTTTTTACTTCAGAATAAAGCAGAGTTGTTTACAAAGAAATCTTACTCTATTTTGACTCTTGAATATAATGGCCATACTCTTCCTGACAGTTAAACAGATTAACCCATTGTTCAACATCCAAATCACTCTGGCTTTCAATGCTAAAGTTAATTCTCAATTAAACACTTCTACAGTTTGTGCTCCAGAATAGATTTCCATCATAATCTTAAAAAGTGTTCTTTAGAACTCTCTTTAGTTTTTGTTTAACTTTTAAATGTTTAATAAATGGTTCCAAATATTCAAAACTATAGAAAACACTTTGGCCTCTCTAACTATTCTGCTATTAGTCTTCACTCTGTTATTAGTTTTTTTATATATAAAGGTTTTGAGATTATTAAATTATTTCTTTCTAACTGCAGTAGTAAAGTTATTCTTGAAGGCCTACCCTCTCCTTTATTTCAAGTAACTTAAGGGTACCACAAGGTTCTGTCTTTGCTCCTGTATTGTTCTTATCTACAATAACGATCTTCATGAAATCTAAAAAAGCTCTTTTTGCTGATGACTCAACTTTATAATCTTGTCTTGACTAAAAATCTTCGTTTTTTATTTGCTTAGAAAAAACAGCTGATTTTAAATCTGATCTCTTCTGTAACTTGCAGTGGCTTATGGATTTAAATTCTGAACATAAAATCCACAATTTTTGTTAGACAACTAAACTCATTTGTTTACTGCAAAAAAATATTGCAATATTGTTGGCATTCCTATATTGACGAACAACAACCCTCTTACTCTCAGACAAAATCTAAAAGCACATTGTAAATGTAATTAGACCTGTTAATCTTCCCAGCTTGAGCCACTCTCCCATTGTTGTAAGGTTGCATTTCTTTTTTCTATAAATACAATCATAGTCAATGTCAAATGAGCTATCCTCTCTATTATGATAAACCAAAACTCATACTTGCTTGGCTTTTTATTCAACAAGTTGCATCCATTTACTGCATCTATCCCTTCATGCTAAAAAAACTTTAATTAATCCAGTTTTTTTCCTTGAACATCAAAAAAAACCTTAAAACTCTTGCCCATCTTCATGTTTTCCTTTTTTATACAACTTGCAACTTTTTAAGTCTTCAGTTATATGTTTCCTAGTATTTTAATTTATTCTTTATTTTAAAGTAACTCATAACTTAATAGTTATTGCTTGCAATCTTGTTGGAAATAAATTAGAGTTTAAAATATATAAATGAATGCCAGTATTTGATAATTAGTGAATGTAAGCATAAAATTATATTATATTAATTACTATAAATTTTTTCTAGCCCCAGCTATCAACCCTTGACAAATCAGGTGTATAAAAAGTCCCATTTTTAGCCGGAGCCTGAACCCCGGTCACTTACTATATAAACTATAGTAATATTAATAAGCTGCATGCAAATATATATATTAGGGTGTCCCAAAAAAAAAGAAAAAAAAATTTCCTTTAGTTTTGTGTGTATTTTTGTTTGTTAAAAGTGAAAATAAGAAAATTTTTGAAAAATTTTGTAGTTTGACCCCCTTTCCTGCCTTTCTTTTAAAGTTTTTACCCCCTCTGTTGCCCACTTTTTCAAAATTATTTACTTTTAAATTGATTTTAGGCTAAATATATAAATGTATTATTGCAATTGAATATCTTTTGTATCAATATTGATCACTATTATAATTCTAAACTATGTATCATAGCTAATATTAGTAAATATAATTTGTTTCAATTCAATGATTCTCAAAAATTATTAAATAATATTATTCGCAATACTTGAGATAAGAAAATTTTTTATGATGACTATTAATGTTACATTCATTATTCGAATAATTTTATAATTTATAGCTACTTTTTTATCTATAGATATAATAGCATATATAAAAAATATTTGATCAGTTATGAGCAATAGTAAATTGAGGAAAAATGATGAGAAGTTTGATAATATTGTTGGTAAATTATTACCTACCCTTGAAGCAAAGATGTATAGTCAACTACCAACAAATTTTCAATTCAAATTTTACAACCGTTTTACCGAACGAGATGTTGTACGCCATTATCTTTATCTTGCAAGATTTGAATTGAAATTAACTGGTAAAAAAGAAGTTGCATCTGTAGTTTGGGGAAAAGTTATTGTTTTTTGGAAAATGGCAGAAATTCCAACAAAACAAAAGAAAGATATTGTCAGAATGATACTACATCTGATTCATCTTAGAGAGAACTTGATTAAAAATGCAAAAAAAAAATGTTATGCAACTCAACTTCTGAGTTTTGCTAATAAATTATCATTGTTGTTTGATATTGCAGCATCAAATGCAGAAAATTTGATGAGAAAAGATACCTCACGTAGTATCAATAGTCAGATATCAGATATAGACTTTCGCTCAGATCAGCGTCACTCAAAAAAGCAATTTTTGGGCCTGTTAGACAAGAGTTATGCTATGAAAGTGAGAAGAAAGGAGGAAAAAGAAAAACAAAATCAAGGCTATTGAAAAAGAGAATTCTAGAAAGGAAAACATAGAAGAAAAAAGCTTCAATGTATTGGCATCATTTGATAATGAAGACAAAACTTATAATAAAAATGAAGAAAGTACTATTGCTAGACAGAAAAAAAAAATCAAGATATTAGAAAACTCTAAAGTTTTCTTAATGGCTGGTAGGTTAAATCTATCCAACAGAGAAAGATCTGGAATCATTTTAGCTGTAGCTGAAGCATTAGGTCACAATTTAGATGAAATATTTATCTCAAAAAGCACAGCGCACAGATCAGGTTATAAAATTCGACAGCAAGTTTCAGACGATCTTAAGAAAACATTCATTTCACCCATATACTCTTCCATTCACTGGGATTCAAAGCTAGTATCTGAGGTTGATAATAAAGTAGAACGTTTGGCTATTGTTGTAACAGGAAAACCATGTGCACCTGAAGGGAAATTGTTGTATGTATCCAGGGTTCCTGATACAACTGGGCGAAGTCAGGTAACAGCTACCATATATCTGTAAAGGCATGGAAACTAGAAAAAACACTTGTGGCAATGATTTTTGACACAACTTCATCAAATTCAGGTTGGATAAATGGTTCTGCAAAGTTAATTGAAGAACACTTTAACAAAAAGATACTTTAGTGCGCCTGCCGACACCATATTTTTGAAAGAGTTTTGTCTTCTGTTTACTTAAAAGTTTTTGGAGAATGTAGATCTCCAAATTATGAGCCATTTATACACTTTAAAAATGAGGTATTGCCTAAGCTTTCATTAACTTCAGATACTACTTTTAGAAAAATAAAAATCGAAGAACCAGTATTAAAGACCAAACAAGCAGAAGTAATAATTTTTTTGTCTGGTTTACTTAACCAGAAATCTCGAAAAATGTTAAGAGATGATTATCGAGAATGTTGTCAACTTGCTTTGCAATTACTCAATCCAAAACAAATAAATATACAGTGGCACAAACCTAGAGCCTTCTATCATGCTAGATGGATGTGTACAATCTTGTACACATCAAAGATGTTTGCTTTTGCTGACCTGGCAGAGTATGACGAAAGTTTTATAAAGAAATTGTCACGGCTTTGTAAATTTACTTTACTATTTTATGTGAAAATATGGCTTACGTGCACAAGCACAGTCGATGGCCCATTTAATGACTTTTTATTTAAATTATTAAATTCTACAAAGAAATGCTTATTTATAAAAAAATTGACAATGATGTTTCTGTTGCTGCCCTGGAAACATTTAATCGAAGAAATGTCCCCTCTCATTATTTTTTGATAAGGTATCTGATCGAGATAAAACTAAAATTGCTAAAACAATTCTGAAAAATATAAAAGAAAACTGTGAACACGATACAGGCTTTTCACAATTCTCTCTTCTGAAGCAGAGTACTTGTTTGACTGATTTAATTGGACCAAAATCAAGTAACATTCTAAATTTATTCGGATATTCAAATGAAAATGGCAGTTGGTTGGTAAAATCCCTAAAGTTTTGGATAGCTAACACAAGTTTTAATCACTTGTTTGAGCATATCAAATCACTGAAATCTGTAATCGATACAGCAGAACGAGCTGATAAACTAATTCAAGACTATGCAACATCTATTACAAAAGATGATGAGCAGAAAGAATTTCTTTTACCTGCAGTAGAACACCACCGAAAAGTTCTTCCTCGCATAAATAAACAAGCAATTCAAAAACTTAATTTTTGAAAACATGCTTTAAATAATCTTTTTTATTATACCTTAAAAATATTGTTATTTTGTTGTTATAATTTTAAAACAATGAGATTTTTAATTTCTTAGTACTTATTCCCATTGTGCTTTAATATTGTTAACTTATATCAATCATTTCTTTGCTTCTTTGTTTAATAATTGAGTATTTATCAAGTTTTTTGTTTTAATTAAAAATTATAATTTATAAAGTTCCTTATTTAGGCAGAAAAAAATCATATGACAAAGATATTATTAGAAAGGAATAGGGGGGGGGGGGTCATAAACCAGGTGAAAATTTATTTTTAATAAATTTTCATTTTTATTTATTACAAAACTATTTGAAATTATAATAACAGTTAATTATATTGGATATAAATAATAAATATATAAAAGGAGTATATTAAGGATTGTTTTAGGGCAAAAACACATTAAAGGGGGAGAGGAGGGTCGAATATGAATTTTTTTGAAAGTAACTATTTAGTTTTATCAAACAAAATTACACAAGAAAATTATAAAAAATGCAAACATAGTTTATTATCAAAAATAATTTTAGTCCTATGTGTCATTTTTTTAGGAAAAAAAAAACACAAAAAATAGAGCGGCAGGGGGGTCAAATATGAAAATTTTTTGATTTTTGATTTTTTTTTTTTTTTTTTTTTTTTTTTTTTTTTTTTTTTTTTTTTTTTTTTTTTTTTTTTTTTGCTTTTAGTAGATAAAAATACATATGAAACTGATTGAAAATCTAGAAATAGTTGAAAACTAAAAAAATTCATGTCGTTTTGGGACACCCTAGTATATATATATATATATATATATATATATATATATATATATATATATATATATATATATATATATATATATATATATATATATATATATATATATATATATATATATATATATATAGCTAATAAAAGTATACAATTTATATAAATTTAATTTGAAATAAATGTTGTTCAATACATGATCAATAAAAATTGATTTTTATCTAAATTAATTTTTAAAATTAATAGATGTTTCTGTTTTTCTTTTATTAATTTAATATACATTTTCATTTGGGTTTTTATTATTTATATTTATTTTGTATTTTTATTATTTCTATTTTAACGAAGTTTTATTATTTCTATTTTAACAAAGTTTTGTTATTTATATTTTAGGGAAGTTTTATGTAAGTTTTATCCTTTTATTAACATTTTTCTTATTTACACTTTTTTTTTACAAAGCCTAAAATGCAAAGATTGTGGTGATTCTAGTTATCTTTCTTTGTGACACTAGTCATCCATGAATTTCTTTTTGTTTTTATAAATCCTTGTTTTTATGTTATGTTTTTTATAATTTATTATTATATAAAAAAGTTTTAAAAAATGATGAGAAAGAAACTGTTACCATTAATTGATTTTGTTTAATGTTGATGTTTTTGCATATAGCTCTTTTGTTTAAAAGTTTATGTTAATTATTGCATTTCTAGCCTAATTTTTTTATTTGCTTACTTTCTAGTTTATTTATTTTTTCTAATATGAAGTAGAATTGAAAAGTAAAGTTTATATAAGTATGGAAAATAAGAAAATAAGAAGATTTTAATTCCTAATGTTGACGCTAATTTAAATATTTTTTCTAATAATTTGTTTGTACATTTTAAAAAACATGAAAAAGTAAAGACTGGTTATTAGAATATATATATATATATATATATATATATATATATATATATATATATATATATATATATATATATATATATATATATATATATATATATATATATATATATATATATATATGTATGTATATGTATATGTATATATATATATATATATATATATATATATATATATATATATATATATATATATACACATTTTTATTCTATTCTAAAGAGTTATGTACAGAGTAATTTGTCAAGCCTTTATAATAACATTTTTGTGTAACTACAAAGAAATTTCACTTTTATTTTTTTCTACTTTTCAACTTAATTAAACTGCATTGCGCATTGTCTTTTTGAATAAGTTATGCAAAATGCTTGATTAAATTATACAAAAAGCTATCATGTATTCTAATGATCTTGTTATCTTGTAAATTATACAAAGAGTTATTTCTTAATTTTTTATTTTGCTATCTTAAAATGTTCTTAAATATTGAGTATAAATTTGAGTGGCTGCTCTGTTTGAGCTTGTATAACAGCAACAAAAAAAAAGAAAATGTGCATCCCTTTATAAATTAAGGGAATCAATTTTTTTTTTTATCTTTGATATATCATTTGACACCGTTATATTAACTAAAATATCTAAATATAAATTAATTTGCTTTAATTACCTTTAACTGAAAAGCTTAAACAGAGCAGATACGCAAATGTATTTTGTAAAAAATGTATTTTGTAAAATTGAACTGTTTGAAATCTATGTTTTTCTAAGTGTTTATCCTTAGTCACCCTTAGTAATAAAGTTTATACTAAAATGCAATCCAATCTTACTAATAACTGATTTTTATAAGTTTTGTCAATTCATTTATAGCAAATAGTTTTTTAAAATATCACTCTGCATTTAAAATGAGAAATTTGTATGAACTCTGTTACATCTATGTGGCAATATCTCTTAAATATAAGGAGTAGATTAAGATATGAAAAAATGATTTGAGTTGTGTGCTGACATTTTTATAGTTCTTGGATAATAGCATAAGATTGTATGACAACTTAATAAATTTTCTCTTTTTTTTAGATGGAGTGTTATATAGTATGTCAGTTTATAGAAGAATTTGAAATAGACGCTACAAAGCCTGAAGTTAATACTGGCACCAAGGTTTCAATAATAAACTTTTACTCTGCAATAATAATTATTATAATATTTTAGTATTAACACTTGTCTTCTTTTGAGTCCAGCTGCAAAATTGATGACAAATCTACTCAATAGTAATGAGTAGTTATAAATTTTTCATAAAACTCTAACATTTAAAAAAAAAAATTGTCATATTTAAAGAGAATAAAAATTAGTAACGTTAAAAAAATTGTAATGTTATCTTTTTTCAGTAGTATTTAGTTTTAACATCTACTCTATGTATTAAAGTACATTGTGTCTAGCGCAACGGTACCGTTGCTTTAATTTTTTATCTTAAAGTCACGGTAGTAAAGTTTGATTGGTTTATTTAAAGTCATGGCTGCAAATATGATTAGTAAGTTTTGAAAGTTTTATTTGTACAAATTTTAAAAGAGTTCCATGTATTATAACATGTGCGTTTAGCATTGTGGTATTTTAATTCTTAATACTTACGGAGTATCTGGGATCGAGTCCTACTCTCTAAATAAAACTTTTTAATGTTTTTTAACAATTTTTTTATTGAAAGTTATTATTGTTGTATATTGAAAGTTACATTTATGTATATTATTTACAAACATCAACTGATATAGACTGATAGGCGCAGTGAGTGTGCATACATCGACTGATTTAGAGATAGGCGCAGTAAGTGACATACATCCACTGATTTAGGGATAGGCGAAGTGAGTTTACATATATCCCCTAATTTAGGGATAGACGCAGTGAGTGTGCATACATCCACTGATTTAGGGATAGGCACAGTGAGTGTAGATACATCAATTAAGGGTTTTGGTTTGGGCATGCATTCTTTAAATAAACAGAAAAAAAATTAACAAATCAGAAATCACTACCGTGACTTTAAGAAAGTAATTAAAGCAATGGTACCATTGCGCGAGCAACAGCGATTAAAGTAACATAAGTACTGATAAAGCAGCATAAGTACTGATAAAGCAACGTAAGTACTGATAAATCTCTACTTGAGATTTTTTGCGCTTAATTGATTTTTCTTAAACTTTTGGCTCGACTACTCTGGCCTTATATATTTTTTAAAAATGTTGTGTTAAGACTTGGAAATTTATTAGTAAAATTTTTAAATTTTCACAAGAGAATTGATTTTTTGATTTGACTTCTGCTAGGGAAATATAATATATAATCAATGTAAACCATGAAACTAAAAAAGTGTTTGTAGCTTGACTCTTTTGATTTAACAGTTTTTTTATTTAAAAAACTATTTCTACAGAAAGGAGGAAAAAAAAAGAAAGCAATAGCAAACTGGAGTTGGGAGTCAGAAAGACGTAATGCTTTGGTTGCTTTAAATAAACTTGTTCAGTTAGATTTGTTTCGTTTGTGGGATCCACCAATAGTTGAAGAGGATTTTGTAAAGTGAGCTAAGAATTCTAATATATCTTATTAATTTATATATGTATCATTGTGTAGTATTATTTTCTAAATTGTTTATACTATCTGGTTATTGTTTAATTTAGTTATTGCTTTTTTATATTATAGCCTTGTAAGTGGTATATGCTATAAATTATTTGAAAATGCAAACTTTGTTCGACAAAAAGAAGATAGAGATATTGTTTTACATACACTTGGTCATTTGATAAAACGATATAATCATCAACAAAGTATGTTTTTGTATATATGTTTTGTATCTAAGTATGTATTTAAATACGTGTTATTTTTACAGATGTTTTCTGATTAAAGTAATAAAACTGAAATAAAAGTTTGTTCTCTTTTTAAAACCTGTGAAAAATCACGCAAATTATAATTATTAAAAAAAATTTTAATTAGCTATAATAGTTAGGTATGTTATATAATACTAATTATGATTTTCTAAATTCTTATTTTAAAATAATTTTTGTACATTTAGGTGCAAGTGTAAAGATAGTTCAGCTCTTGCAACACTTTGAATACCTTGTTTCACCACTTTCTCATGCATTAGAAATATTTGTAAATGAGTATGGGGCAAAACTTCTTGTATGCGATATCATAAGGTTTAATTTATTAAATTTTTACTTATAGTTTATTTATTAAGTTGATTTTTAACAAACAAATATATTGTATTTATTTCTAATTAGATTTAAATTTTTAATATTTAGGTGTATGATACAATTTAATGAGTAATAGTAACATACAATTTTAAGAGTTAGAGTTCTAATAATACCTTTGAAGAGAGTTCAAAAAGCTTTAGCCATGGCTTTAAAGCTCCCAAAACATTAAAATATTTTTACCTAAGTATTCACTAGTGATTTTTTTCTATTTGACTTGATTATAATTATAATTAAAAAACAAAAACGTCCTTAAAATAATAAAAAAAAAGATTGGTATAATTTAATTGTCATTATTATTAGTTTTTGTTAAATAATTTACTATAAAAGCTCTTATAAAAACAAATACCTGAAGTGCTTGTGGAAATGAACATTGATTTACCAAGTACTTTGTTTAGATAATCATTCAAAAAGCAAATCTGATGTTTGTGTTAAGTTTATATATGATTTAAGTAACATAAACATTTAGCTATTTCTGTATATTAAATTTCTTATAATAGCATAATTAATTTATGTTAATTATGCTATTATTTTGTTGAAGTAAATTCTGATACTTGGTCTTGCAACTTGAAGTGTGGTAAATTAAAAACTGTTGCTATGTTGTTCAATTGCATCTACCACTAAAGACAAATCAGAAGCACTAGTCAATTAAGAAATTGATTATTAACTGTTTCAAAAATTTTAAATCCAGTATCTGTGACAATGATGAGGTGAAGACTGACGGATAATGATAATTTCTGCCCAAGAAGATACGTTTTCGCCTAGCACAACTCTTTGTTTTCTATTTTTCAGAAAAGCATCAATCCATTTAATTGTTAGACCAGATATTCCATAAGCTGCTAGTTTTAGTAACAGCCTTTTATGGGGCACTGTGTCAAATGCCCTAGCAAAATCCAAAAAAATAACATCAACAGGTTTACCATTTTCTAAACTGGTGGAAATAAAATCTAGTGTATCAAGTAGATTTGTTGTGCATGATTTACTTTTAACAAAACCGTGCTGCTGCTTGACTATGAGTTTATACTCATTCAGAAAAATTTCAAGTTTACATCTCACTATACCTTCCATTGTTTTACAAGCAGTTGAGGTGAGTGATATCGGTCGGTAGTTTACCGCTAAGGTTTTTTCACCTTTTTTGTACAGAGGAGTAATATTTGTTGATCTGAATTGCTCTGGCAATTTGCTAGTTTCAAACGATTCTTTAAAAATATATGTAAGTAGAATAGCAAATGATGATGCACAGTTTTTTGAAATAGCTGAATGTAAGTTATCAACACCACTTGATTTGTTTTCTTTCAAGTTTTTTAATCTTAAAAAGACATCTTCATATTTAAAATCTTCTGTCGTGTTTCATTTGTTCTTATCTGAAAGTAAGGCAGCGGATCATCATTTTCTCTCACAAATGCTGCTTGAAAGTTTTTGTTTAAAATATCCGCAACATATTTTGGATTTTGAGTGGTTTCACCATCCATTCCTTTTAATGCTTTGATTGAATCTCTGACTGCTCGTTGATTGTTTATGTAGCTGTACAAGAGCTTTGGATTCTTGGCAGCTCTTTTTACCAGATCATATTCAAAGTTTTGTCTAATTTTTTGATCTCTGCTCTACTTTTTTGAAAATCATTTTGTTTTCAAATTTTAGAACAGGGTCTTTCCATTTACACTAGTAATTTTTGTATCTTAAATTTTGCTTGCTTCTGATAAGAAATTTTATACTGACATTTACCCAGGCTGGTCTGATTTTTAGAGAGTTGATTGTCATTTTAGTAGGAGTGAAATGATTACATGCCACTTCTGTGTAATAAATAAGTTCATCAAACATTTCCTGAGCGTTTTTATTGCTAAAGCATCTTATCCAGTCAACAATTGAAATTAGATCAGATATTTTGTCAAACTTGCATACATACATGCATACATACATACATACATACATACATACATACATACATACATACATACATACATACATACATACATACATACATACATACATACATATATATATATTTATATATATATATATATATATATATATATATATATATATATATATATATATATATATATATATATATATATATATATATGTATATATATACAGCTGTGAGCATGAAAATAGCAGTACCAAAAAATTATTCGTTTTTTCAATATTACTCTCCTTCTGTTAATACAGAAGGGCTAATTTTTTATGTGTGTATGTACTAGAATGAGATAAATAAATTGAGCAAATGAGAATTCATTACATTGTAGAATATCTTTATTTTTAATAAAAATATTGTAATTGACAAAATGCATTAAAATAGCAGTGGTTGTATTAATTTTAAAGTTAGTTAACAAAACTTGAAGAGATTTTAGTATTTTTCGTTGAAAAAGTAAGTACTACTTCAATTATAACATATTCTTTATTTATTTGAGTATGCGTAATGGTAAAATTGTTTTCTAAACCTTTCAAAGTGGGCCGAGGACATCATTGTACACCAGCAGAACGCAACATTGTTTTGAAACACTATAGAGAGGGTAAATCTTACTCATATATACAAAATATTCTCGGATGTTCAGCAAAGATGATTTCAAATGCCATAAATTATATAGCAAAAGTTGAAAAACGAGGGGGGAAACGTAAGACTACCGCGCAAGAAGACCGAAGAATTGTTAGATTTGTTAAAAGCAAACCATTTTCATCGGCCAAGCAAGTCAAAGATGATCTTGACCTACAGGTGAGTGAAACAACAGTTCGTAGATGCTTACGAGAGAAAAGTTTGTATGCACACAGTCCACGAAAGGTCCCTTTGTTGACAAAAAAACATACCGCTAAACGTTTGCAGTTCGCAAACCAACATCTGAATTGGCCCATCGAAAAGTGGCGCAACGTATTATGGACTGATGAATCAAAAATAGTTCTTTATGGAGGTACAGGTTCAAGACTATATGTAAGACGTCCATCTAATACAGAATTCCAGCAAAAATATACCATTAAGTCTGTAAAACATGGTGGAGCCAAAGTCATGGTATGGGGCTGTTTCTCATATAATGTTGTCGGACCTATTTATAAGATTAATGGTATTATGGACCAACATATATATGTCGATATCCTCAATAATGTCATGCTGCCTTATGCTAATGAAGATATGCCGTTAAAATGGGTCTTTCAACAAGACAACGACCCAAAACACACTAGTCACAAGGCAAAAGAGTGGTTTCAGGTCAATGGGGTTGAGGTTATGGAGTGGCCTGCTCAGTCACCTGACCTAAACCATTGAAAACTTATGGGGAGACATTAAAAAAGCAGTTTCTACTGCTAATCCAACTAATGCTCAGCAGTTATGGGAAGCTACTCAACAAGGATGGTACGCAATACCAGCAGAAAAATGTCAATGTCTAGTTGACTCAATGCATCGACGTTGTGAAGCCATTATCTCAAACAAAGGTTTTGCAACGAAATACTAAGGGTAAGTATTGTTATATTAGACTTATTTTTAACTTTATAATGTTCAAAAGTTTGCAATTTTAATGTTTAATACCATAAAAAATAATTTTTTCTCTATTTTCAGATACCACTGCTATTTCAATGACTGCGAGCTTTCTTGATATTATTGTTTTTTTTTCTGAAATAAAATGTAAAACTATTATTGATGTAATTTTTTTTTGTTTTATTAGATTGAAGTGTCAAAATAAATGCAATAAATTTTTTTCAGTAATAAGTAAAAAAAAATTGCGCAATAGTTTTCAAAATATTCCAGGTACTGCTATTTTCATGCTCACAACTGTATATACATATATATATACACACATATATATGTAGTGTAATGTTTACTTACTATATCATACAATAATTTTACTATACACGTTTTATCAAAATTCTTTATTTTTTAATGTAAAGAGAAATAGGAAGAATCGATATGTCAGATTTAACACGAGATGCCAGTGGTACCCGTTCTTTTTCACAATTCTTAGTTGAGATAGCTGAAAAAATTCCCAGTTCGGTTCTACCGAATATAAGCTTATTAATGGCACACCTTGATGGTGAGGTTAGTAAATAATTTGTAAAGTTTCAGTCTAATGAAAGTCTTATTTTTAAAAATGCACCTAAAATATTTCCTTTGTTTCCTACCCCTGGATTATGTAAAGACTTTAATTTTTTTTTAAGTCTTACTCAATGCGAAATGGTGTTCTTGGAGTTTTTGGGGAAATTGTTGCAAAGGTCTTAAATAAAGATAACTTAGATGTTGGAATGAAGAAGTCCCGAGAAGGTTTTTTAGACAGATTAGAGGTTAAAAAAACCTAAAAGTTTTGAAAATGTGTTTTAGTACAGTGTAAGTGTAATTTATATAGCAGCCATTTTTTAATTTTCAATTTTAGGATCATATACATGATGTAAATTCATTTGTAAGAAGTAGAGTGTTACAAATTTGGTTATATCTTTGTCATGAAAAGGTTTTTTTAATGTTTAAAGTTTAATTAGGTAAATTTAATTAACATTTTCACTTTTTAAAGTTATTTTGTATTTTTAAAAGTTTTATCTGTTTAAAAAAATTTCAGGCAATCCCAATTGCACGTCAAGGTCGCCTTTTAGATCTTGTGATAGGAAGACTTCAAGATAAATCAAGTCAAGTTAGAAAATATGCAGTACAATTTCTAAAAGCTTCTCTTGTTGGAAATCCATTTGCAGCTAAGGTCTTTAAAAAAAAAATTTATTAGTTTTTTGTTTGCTTACTTTTTCATTGATGTAAACAATTGAGACTGTATGCCAAACAAATTGAACTTTTAAGTAAATTAAGTTTATAAAACAGTATGCTCTATTTTATTTAAAAAAAAAAAAAAATTTAATGTATTTTTTTAGAATTTTTTAGAATTAATGCTAAAAATATAAAAGTTCTTCATGTCTAAGATGATTTTTTTATTTGTACAAAATACCTACTAATTAAAACAGAGGTCTTGTTTTAAAAAATTCTAATTTTTAAAACTACCTTAAAGCTAGTTTTTTAACTTTATATTAAAATTTTGATATAAAGTTTAAGAACTAGAGGAATTTTATATTAAAAAATAATTTTCAATCAATTATATTTTTTTTATACAACTTTTATCAAATTTAGTCTTTTTTTTAATGTAAAAAGAATCAATTAGAATTGATATGCTAGAATTGATGTATTATCTTTTTATTTCTATCACTTTATAAAACTTTAAAGCGAGTTAAGTTAAAAAAACAAAACACGAACAAATACTTGAGAAAAAGTAATAGTTCTTCTTCTGTTTGTTATTTCTATTTTATCTCCTATTTCTATCTTCACATCATTAGAAAAGTTCAGGCTTCATTGATTTTGTTTAACATAGATGAGTTTTTTCCAGAAATTTTCGGAATTTCGGAAATTCACTTAAAACACCTTTAATTTTTCCAGAAATTTCCAAATATTTTTTGATATTAGTTTGAAAAAAATTACTAGATTTTTACATAAAATTTTACATACGACAATTTATGCATTTAAACAAATATGTTTTCTATAATTAAGATTTTCACAAGATAAATTTCCATAACAATTTTTTTTTTTTCCATAACAATTTTTTTTTTTTTTTTTTTTTAATTCATTCAAACTTTTTCGAATATTAAAAATTCCTTTTTGTAAAAAGTTAAATAATCTAAATTCCGTTTTAAAATAATCTAAATTCAGTTTGTCAGTTAAATGCGATCAATTTTTAATAAAATAATTTTCCGGGATTATCATAGAAAAAAAATTTCCGGGATTTTCATAAAGTCAAATACACATCTATGGTTTAAAAAATTGTTTTTACTATTACAATTTTACTTATCTTTTTTATGATTATAGCTGCCTATAGATCAACTTACTCAAAGTTTAGAAAAAGAAATGGAAAAACTAAAAGAAATTGATCAATCTGATAATAATGATGTTATAAGTATGTAATTATTTTTTGTTAATATGACTCTTTGTTAAAAATTATCTCTTTGTTAAAAGTTATCTCTTTGTTAAAAGTTCTTAAGTGAAACTTTTATTTTATAGAGAATTTTCAGTGAAACTTTTATTTTATAGAGAATATTTAGTATAAGTTGATAAAAAAAATTAAAACAATTGTAGATGTAGTTCAGGATTCTGAAGAATGGTTGCAAATTAAAGATTCCATGAAACAGGCTATAAATCAGTTTTTAACGGGTGAATCTATGGAAGAAGACAGTGAAGATGATGAAATATATGAAGATGATGAAGATGGTTTTAAAAAGTACTTTTTTACATGTTCATTTATTGCAAGTTCTTAAAATTTTTAGCTGATTGTAAATTATTCATATCAAAGTAAATAGTTAAATTAAAAAAAAAAAAAGTATGAAAAAAATAAGGTGTCACTACCATATAAAGTGTTGCGTCCAGGAATGCAAAAACTTAAGTTAAAAACATATAACAATATTATAATAAAAAGAATGAAGTTATTAATTTCCTAGATATTTACATTGATGAAAACTTTACGTGAAAAAGTTGTATCAAAATTCTGTCGCAAAATGAAATATTATTAGAATAATATTATTTAAGGAGAGAAACTTTGTGTCGAAATATGCATTATTCTAACTATATTTTATTTATTTTTTTATAAGTATATTAACTATGTGAATATTACTTTAGTACTAAAACAGTTAACTAGACATTCAAATATTTTTTATTGGGAACTTTCGTAATTTAAATTTATAAAATAGAAATGCTGTATTTTTAAAATAGATCTAGAAATAGTGCTGAAAAAGATCCTAAAATTGGTACTTAAAAGCATGGTTATATAAATGTGTATGTTGTATATATATGTGTGTTCTTTAACTTATTATTATAAGAGTTTTTATATTTGTTCTTTATATCAATGACATAAATGCACAAGCCTATGCTTTAGATAGACAGTAATTAGCATTTTTAAACAGCGGTTGCACAAACCTATATTTTAGATATACAGTAGTTAACATTTTGAAATAGTGGTTGTACAAACCTATGTTTTAGATAAGCAGTATTTTTAGCGCTTAGACTACATAGTATTCCTATCATAACTTAAAAAAGAGCTCCAACTACTAAAAGTTCTTAACTTATATAACAACATTGTTTTTACCAACAACATTGTTTGAAGTTGTAATTTAGAGTTAAAAATTGTAAATATACCTTAATAAATTCATTCTTATTGTTTCAAGAATACAAACTGTAAAGTTTTAAAAAGGATTTGTTACTTGATAAAAATTTAAATAAAAATAAATTATTTTAAATAATGTGTACAAATTAACTATAAATATAAAAAGAATAAAATTTTAAACTGTTTTTATTTTTGTTGCTTATTAAAGTTGTTTGGCTTTTAATTATTTATTTGCTTTTAAACCAATATTTAATTTTCACATATTGATTTCCATGAAGGTATGTCCGTGTTTAACTATTTCACCATTACATATTTGTCTATTTCACCATTTCATATTTGTCTATTATATCACTTGATTTTTTATGGATTTTTATGGAATATCTGACTTGCCACCATAAGACGGTTGCTCATAGCACCTTGTTGCCACTGAAAGATTTTTTTGCATGTGTTGCTGCTGTAAGTTGTTGGACCATAAAGTGTTCTTACAAGCGTTTTTTGTTTTTTTGTTTCAGGGCATTAATTTATATACAATCTCTGATAAAAAACTCTGCGTTTCACAAATCTGTTGTTGCATTCTCAAAGGTTTTAAGAATTTGGAATGAAATTGAAGATTTACAATTAACTGATGTCGAAATTGAAAAATGTAAAAAATCAGATTTTCAAAATGTAGAAAACAAAGAGCAAGAAAATGACGAAGATGAAGATTCTCAATCTGAGTAAGTTGTTAACTGTAAAACTTCATAGTTTAGTACATATTTAAATTTTGAATAAGTATTATATATAGTTGGTTATATATAGTTTAAAGTTTTTTATTCATATAAAGAGATGAGTCAGAAGCTCAGAAAAAAGAAGACCAGAAAACAAATAAAGTTCTACAAATAAAGTATTATCTTTTAATGAAAAAAATATTTCATGGTGGGTATTGTTTTAATTTGTTTATTTTTATTTATTATTTTTTTATTATATTATTTTTTAAATCATTAACTAATCTAAGTCAATATTAATAACATAAGACAATGAAGCGAATAAAATAATAACATAAGACAATGAATGAATAAAATAAAAATTTATATAGTCAAAAATAAAATATTAAATGGATAAATAATATAACAGAATGGATCTGTGGTTAATGAAAAATGATTTTTTTTTTATTTTAATCATTTTTTGAAGATATTTTGATAGATATTTAAATGATATATTTATATATTAGTACAGGGTTCTCACTCAATATAGTAATGAGAAAACATAGAAAATGCATTAAATTCAGTGAGCACTAAAAATATTTCACAATATTAGGTTAAAATATTTTCTTATCATTTTTATTTTATTTTTTTTTTTTTCAGTAAATTTACTTAAGGAAACTTTCAACTGTTAAAAAGCTTTTATGGGTATTTCATTAATTAAAAATAGATCAAGAAAAATTATTTGTTGAAGTAAAACCAGAAAAAGTTATGACAATTGTTAAGGTACATTATACATGGAATTTTAGGGAATGGGTTATGTGAACTCATAGAAAAACTCTGTGAAAGAATTTTAAAATCAAATATTATATTTATTATTTATAATTAGCATTAGTAATTATAATTTGCATAATTAGGCAATCCTGTAAAAACTCAGTAAAAGTATTTTAAAATATTAGTGGCAATCCTGTGTAATTTATAATTATAATTTATAAAGTTTATTTATTTACGGATTTGTTATTATGAATTTTATAATTATAAAGTTTATTTATTATGGCCTAAAAAAACTTTTATAATTATAAAGTTTATTTATTATGGACTTAAAAGTCAAATTAACATTTATACTATTTATTAAAATATATTTATGTTATTAGTTGCTGACACCTGCACCACTGATATTAAAATTGATTTAGCAACAGTTGATCTAGAACAAAGTAATAAAGATCAAGTGAACGTAAATCTTGAAAAACAGAAAGTTCTAGTAACATATTTGTCGGTAGGTAAACAAATTTATAGTTGTCAGAATTTAATCTAGATTTTATCTGCTTGTTATGATGTAGAATTTTGTCTAGATGATTTACTGACTGAGATTTAGTAAATTTGACTTCCAAAAAGAAAAGGAAGAAGCTGTTTTAGATTCAGTAAATTTATCTTCCAAAATATCAAGGAAAAAGCTTTTTAATTGGTGTTTTAGACTAATCTTTTCTCTTTAAAATTTTACCTCATAAATAAAAATTTATGAAGCCAACTAGAACATATTGTTCTCATAAGAGACCTATATATGTTAAGATCTCAATGAAAGTTGTCTGAAGGGCTGCATTGATAAAGTTGTTATACAATTATAATAAATTAATAATACTTACTTTAATGGAGTTACTATAATTAAGTTGTTTAACTGTAAAGAACTTGGCTATATAATACTTTTGACTGAACTGACTATCCAATATAGTACTTTTTTTTTTTTTTTTTTTTCCTGACATTTTGAATGTCATTTTTTAAATGTTCAAACCGTTATCACACCCAGCCCTCCTTTACTAAATTTCATTGAATAACAATGGGCCTCACTAATTCACTCTAAAATAGCTACACCATTAACTACACTACAATACAAGCAATACTCTAACATATACAAGTTTGTTATGTATTGATGTATTCAACTTTTATTTAACATAAAACGTGATGTCATACAGTACCATACAGTGACCATACACTTGTTATGCATAAAAATGATGAATGAAAACTATTATGTGACCATACAGTGACCATACACTTGTTATGCATAAAAATGATGAATGAAAACTATTATGACTAAGTATCTTTTTTTTTTTTAAATCTTGTTTTATAGTTTGGGTCATGCTTTTTGAATTTATAAATTTTTAACTTTTTAACTTTTCTTTTTCTACACTGTTTTATTTTCTATGGTTGAATTTTCAATGTGAACTTAATCTTATTCTTATTAATTTTTTCAAACTATTTTGATTTTTCAAACTTGCTTAAATTTGTTTAACCAGAAATTGCTTCGCTAAAAAAATTAAATGGTTTCCCAGTGCCCTTACAAGTCCCACATGAGTTTCTAATATGTAGGTCAGCTGAGATTACCTAAATTGCTTATGGAGAAACCAAATTGTTTATGAAGATTACTTCAAATAATTTATTTCAAGAATAAGGGAATGACCACCCCCTCTAAATTTAGGTATCAAAACATTAAAATTTGTATAATTAAAAAAATAGTTAAAAAAAAAAGTTATGCGCTGTAATCAAAAAATCAAAATTTGATTGTTTCCATAAAAATTGTTAACAATTACAGCTTAATATACAGGGTCTTAAAATACAAGGTCTCCAAAGTTACAATCTGATTTGTTTTTCTTATAAGTTTTTTATTGAATTTACTAACATAACTGTTAACAATTAATGAAAGTTTAATTATTATATATATATATATATATATATATATATATATATATATATATATATATATATATATATATATATATATATATATATATATATATATATATATATATATATATATATATATATATATATTTACATTAAGCTATAGAAATTATATTCTGTTAATGAGCCCTATTAAAATGCTAATTTTCATTTCTCCATTATGGAAAGCAACCATTTTGTTTGATGTATTTGCAATTTTAGCTCTAATATTGTTTTAACTTTTAGCAGAAAATGGTATAAAAGTCATCAAGAAAGAAAGTATTTGTTCAAAAGTTTAAGAAGAATTTCTAGATTAATTAGACAAAAGTGTAGCTCTGGTAGTGTTTTGTCTGCTTGGGTAGAAAAAGAAATATAGCTATAAAATATCTGGTTTCTCCTCTGTGAATATGATTTTCTTTTCTGTGACTTTGTGGGGTTTGCAGTGGTTAGTAAACTCAAAGAAAACAGTTATTATCATCTAATTCTTATCACAGCTCCTGATACTGCGCTACATTTTATTAACACTTAATTCAGCATAATAATAAAGGATGTAAACAATTTGAAAAAATAATTGTTTTTAAAAAAAATAATGGTTTTATTGATGAGTCCAAATTCATTAAACTTTTCATTAAAACAGAATGAATCCTAAAATTAACTTTCAATATAAAATTTAAAAGAAATATTGCTTAAAGATGCAACACCAATAAAACTCATAAAAATATATTGATATATTATTATTATTATTGTGTGCGTGCTTGTGTGTGTGTGTGTATATATATATAATATAATATATTATTTATATATATATATATATATATATATATATATATATATATATATATATATATATATATATATATATATATATATATATATATACACACATATATCATAAAACCTGAAGAAAAACAAATAGAAACAAGGAAACAGTAGGTTTTATAATAGTTAAATACATAATGTTTTGGTTATTTTATATGTAAGTAATATAAAAATATAATGAATATTGAAAATATGAATATTAAAAAAAAATGATAAAATGTAAATGATGTTTCAAGCAAAACTCTGACTTTTATTTAATCATTTTATAAATTTTTTAAGATTTTTTTAATTGTATAGTTAAAATTTTAATTTAATTTCACATTTCAAAAATAAATATCTTATTTATTTTTGCACCATTTTCTGGCTATTGTGTGTGGTGGTTGTTTAAAATACTAATACTGTTTGTTTGATTAACAAATTTTATTATTATCATCATTAAAAAATCTATTCTTCTCAGTTGTTTTAAATCCTGATAGAGCACATCATGATTCTTTAAAGTTTTTAGGTCATTTAAGTTGTGATTTAAATGCAGCTAATATGCTTTTATTTATAGTCTTTAATGATTAATTTGGATGTTTGTTTTTAATCAAAAATTATTCACTAAAAAATGAGAAACAGTTTTATTTTATTTTATTTTTTTCTAATTTAGAAACGCATTCTTTAAATGCTTTATATGTAATTAATTTTTTTATTTTTTTTTTTAAACTAGGATTGTGTAAGGTATGCCAAACAAATGAAAATGGTTGTTCCTGTGCTCTGTCAACTTTTAGGATCAAAAATTAACTGTGATGTTTTGGAAGCTATTGATTTTTTTATTGCTGCTTATGAGTTTGGGTTAAGCCAATCAGAAGAAGGTATACGTAGGATGGCTACATTAATCTGGTCAAGTGATCCTGCAATAAAAAAGTGTGTAATTGCTGCTTTCGAACGACTTTATTTAGAGGTGCCATGTGATAATGTTCGGTGAGAACTATGTTAATTTCTAAATTGGTAAAATAATTTAATTTAAAATAATATTTAATTTTGACAGCTCCGAAAGTTCATTGACAAAGATCAATAAAGATGATTCACAAAGAATTTCCCATACTTTGTTATTGTATATCGTCACCTTAGAGAGCAGAGGTTCTATCTCCATTTTGGGTAGTTTTCCAGGAGAACAAAAACAAAGTTTGAGCATTAAGCATAAATTAGCAATTTTATTTTTTATTAGTGTTAATGTTTTTTGATCAATTAGAACTATCAAACATGATAGGAATAATTCAACTTTTTTTGAAATTATTAACATTGAAGAGAGTATGGCACAAATTATAAAAGTCATCATGGAGATAGAACCTTTACCTAAATTAATTGCGAGTTGAATGGAGTTTTTGAAATTTATAAACATAATGAATCCAATTAAAATTCTTTTTTAATTAATACAAAATGCTTTTTATGATTGTGTAAACTATCAGATAATGACAATCATGCTTCAAACTTTTTAAAATTAGTAACATTTTGGGACAAATTTTACAATTACCATGGAGATAGAACCTTTACTCAAATTAACTGTGAATTAAACAGAATTTAAAAATTTGTTAACAATGTTTTTGTAATCAATATTATTAAATTCTAAGTGAAATCTCAATCTTAATTAGCAGAAAAATCAGAAAATTGTTATAATAGCAAAATTATATAACAGAATAATTATTATAGTAATACTGAAAAAAATGACTGATAAAAAACAAAGTCTTAGTTCTAGTTATCTTCATAGTCTGAGTAAAGAACAAAAATTGTTATAATAGCAAAATTTAACAGAATAATTACTATAGTAATATTGATAAAAATGACTGACAGAAAACTAAGTCTTAGTGCTACTTGTCTTCATAGTCCGAGTTAAGAACAAAAATTGTTTTAATAGCAAAATCATATAACAGAATAATAATAGTAATACTGAAAAAAATGACTGACAGAAAACTAAGTCTTAGTTCTAGTTGTCTTCATAGTCCGATTCATCAATTTCTGACTCATCAGCAGTTGGTTCTGGTAAACTGTTTCTCATGGCTACTGCAGACGGTAGGTTGTTATACCATTGGGCATAATCTGGTGGAATAACACGCGGTTTCACCATGCACATGAGATCTTTTTTTTCGCATCCGAAATAGGCAGGCAAGTAGGATACAATGGCTGAGGCTCTAATCCTTCGATGTTGGATCGTCGTCCTCTTCCAGACTGTACATTTATTTCCATAAAGGTAGGCGACGTAATGCTATATTTGTACTGCATAATGAACGGTCTTGACTTTTTAAATCTTGCCCACTTAATATTTAACCAGTTGACGGTTTCACCTTTAATATTTTTTGTACGATTTTTCACAATTTTATCGCAAAGTTGTTTTGAGTCAAAAAAATTGGTGTGTTGCAGTGGTTTAACAAGATATGGACACGGATTCTTGCGCGCAGCAGCAATCAGAACTTCGTATTCTCGTGTAGTGTAAATTTTTTGATGGCTCTTACTGCATTCAATAGTACTGTGCATAGAGTCAACTTCTAAATTGTACTGTGCATAGAGTCAACTTCTAAATGACCTGACTCCATATACTTCATATCGATGCATTCCAGATGAGTTGTTTGAACAATGTACATCATTGTCGCAACAATAAATTGGTTTCTATTTTGTCCAGAGCACGTATCACTAAAAGAAGTCACCCTCTTCACAGAAACTGGAAGAGACTTCATATAATCTAACAGAGCTGTATTTATTTCATTGGCTCCTCGTTTACCTTCACTTTCGTCCCATAGGTAACAAATTCCTTTTTTGGTCGATGTTTCATAAATAGTAAAATTATAAATGGCAAGTTTCCGCATATAGAAAATTTGTGCATCCCCTGCAAATGGAAGTGGTAACACTGCTTCGAGGTCAAAAGTTATAGAACGAATGGACTTGTCAGCAGCAGATGCAGTCTTATCAGAATTTTTTTCGTCCATAGCTTCCTTTTCACGAAATTTATGACTGTCATAATTTGGTCTTAGTGTTTCTTTATCATCACCACTGGCATCTCGAAAAGCATTGCAAATCGAGCATTGGTCTTTTTTGGGAATAAAAAATTTTATATTAAAATCAGTAACAAATATTTTTCAATATACACCGATAGAAACTGGATCTGTGATATTTTTCGTTGTGCAATAATCATTTTTGTATAGTCTATAAAGTTCCTCAATACTTAGTTCAGGACTAAGGTATTTTGCCTTTGATGAAGCCCGACAGTAGTGAGATTCGACCTGAGGAAAGCTGAGGATGTGCTCTCGAACTGCATTGGTTTGCATTTCTGAAGTCTTATTGGCTGGAGTTTTTCCTTTTTTTGAATTTGGTGGTATGAAAAGACCAATCTCATTTTTATTTTTTACAACAAACTGAACAGTTTTTTTGCTTATGTCCAAAGTCATGCAAAAAATTTTTTGGCACACTCTAATGACAATGTTTTCATTCGCTTCCACTGGCAGATGATATGCACAGGATATTGTTTTTGGTCATCTTCCTGAATTGTCACGACGACGTGAAACATTGCTACTTTTCACTAAATGGCATATGAAATCTTTTTTTCTATTTTCACCCTCTAGTTGGTAGTAGTGTTTATTTATTTCTAGTCGTTTGGTTTCCTCAAAATGTTCTCCACACTTGAATTTGCACTTTAAACAGTTCACCGTTCTAGGTGTTTTGGGCGGTACTGCTTTACCTTTTCGTGTCTTGTATGCCATTCCTTTCTCTCTTTTGTCTTTTTCAACAAATCATTTCCAAAGATTTGGTCTTTTGCCTTGTTTGCGTCCAATTTTTGGTTCAGTGAAAGTTCGCTTTTTTGAACCATTGTTTAATTCCATGGTGAATTCTTAGAATTACGAAAAAAACTATTTAAAATTACCTCTGTTTTAATAAAAGGTTGTTTATTCATTATATTTCGTTTGTTACCGTCTGCTATTTTCAAGAATTATGTCATTGGGCAAAGAAGATATCTCCGGTATAGTCAGATGGCAAAGGAGATAACACCTTTGCCCTTTTGGGATTCCGCACAAATGTAGATAGCTCAAAACTCGCACAAATTTATTGCTCTTCTCCTACTATGTGGAGATAGACCCGCTGCCTAATCTGATTCTAGCACTTTCCCCAAAGTCATAATGCTACTACTATGTGGAGATAGACCCGCTGCCTAATCTGATTCTAGCACTTTCCCCAAAGTCATAGTTGAATTTAAGCACAACATGGAGATAGAGCCTCTATCCTCTCTAAGGCGACGATATCTTTATTATTACTCACACCACTGTTCTCCAATTTGACCTCCAGGTTAAAACTTTCCTCACTCCTGATTTTTTTGCATTTAATCAATCATACACATAAGTAAAATTTAAGTTGTCATAAAAATCTAAACTAAGTATGTATATTTTCAAAATTAAAAGTTGTATTTTTTATTATAGTCAAAATAAACCATGGACATATATTAATTTTATTTCCAAAACTCACATATAACAAATACATGTGTAACACAAATTATATTAATGCTACTAATTGTTTATGTAAAAATTTACTACTGCAGATTTTAGCATTTCTCCATAATTTTTTTTGTCCTATGGTTTTTTTAAAGTTCACCCAAGTTTTTTGAAATTTGTGATAAACAGCTCCACCACATTGTTTCGCATAGTTTCTTAAGCTAATATTATTGTGTTTAACAAAAGGAAGAAAGTGCAACACACTAAAATACGTATTTTCCATAAAACTTTCAAATTGTAATCAAAAATATTTTTTGCATATATTTAAAGACTAAAAAATTTGAAGTTTTTTATTCTCACAAAAATCAAGTCTGAACCTAACACTGCTGATTTCATTAATGAAAATTTACGCCAACAATTATTGGTAAAATATCAATTGCTGCAGTTAAGGTAATATCCTTATCTAAAACATTTAACAGGGACATAAGTCTGTAAGCATTGTTTCCATCTAAACCTACTCCATGGTACCCTTTCCTTAGTATGTCATGCATTTTTAACCACTTTTAAAAAGCTGGCCAAACACATAACAACGAAGTACAAAGTTTATCCACAACTCTTATCGTAATGTTTCTTGATCTTCTAAGTATTTTAAATGAGGATTTATAACATTTTTGTATTCCTGCATTTTTTATCTTTTTTTTTTTTTTTTTTTATCCATCACATACATATTGATCATAACATAAGTCTAATGTTCTTAGTTTCCCTACTTTGAGGGAGCATTCTCCTTCATAATACAAACAAGCATATTTGCCAGAGTGGCTTGAAAGTCTGCACACTTTATATCAAATGCCAAACTAAATTTGATGTCTTCGAGATTCAAAGGTGCTAATAATTTTTGGAGATTATTTACTGAAACTATCCCCACAATATTAAGAATATAACGTTTCACGCCAGAATCTTTATATATTTCAGATAAAGAATAATATTTTGGATAAAAAAATAAATGTTAATTTTCAACAAGTTTTGACCACCATCTCCAGATACTCTTATTATTGCATTAAGGATATTAATACCTCTTTCCTCATTTATAAATTAAATATATTTTTGTTGTATTCTTTGCATAAATCTCTAACAACTATTTGATCACCGTCAAAAACAAGAAGAAAAAAATACAACAAAGTATCTAGAGTACCCTGTAATTCAGTCATGTTTTTAGAGAGTTTTAATACATTCAAAGGTCCATAATAATTTAGAATAAGATTTGATTTACTTTTGTTGTAACTTATTTTCAGTTACTCCAGCTATAAGAGGTCTGTAGACAACACAAACTGCTCTGTACAATGTTTTCATGTTTCATTTTACGTTTTAATAATCCAGAAACCACTTGTTCTACATTTTTATATCCAAGTGATTCACTAAAACCTATGATATTGTTTACAGCTTTATTTTGCAACAATCGTGAGAAGCTAAAATTAATAGTGAGAAATTTAAAACTATTTTAAAAACTTGAAATTACACAAAAAACCATCATTTAACATAATGAGAATCATGCTTCAGCTAATCTTATTGAAATTATAAAATCATAATATACAAAGATTCATATAGCAGAGGTCGCAGATTTTCTTTTTCGCATTTAATAAAATTCTGGCTCAACATTTGTCTGGATATATTCTAGTGATAGGGTTGCCATGGTACTTATTTTTTTGTAGAAGAATGCATTAAAAATTTTGATTTTTATTAGTTCAGCTAAAGAAGAAAAAGAAGCAAAAAAGTAAAGTTTTAATTTTGCAAATATTCATACTTAGTTCAGATATTTTTTGACAACTTAAATTGTGTTTGCTAATGCATATATTTGATCAAATGTAAAAAAATTCAGGAGTGGGGAGAGTTTCAAACTGGCAGCCAATTTGGAGAACAGTGACACCTTAAACATATTCTAAACTTTTTTTTTTTTTTTTTTTTAAGAAACAAGCCTACATTAATTGTAAAGAGTTTAATATCTTTGATAACAAAAGCAAATCTTGGTGAGTTAACTTCATTGGAAAAGCTTGTAAGTACTTTTTGTTGTATTAGAATTATATTAGTCTTTTAATGTTGTATAGATCACATATATATGTATAAACATATATGTATATACCTAGTTAATGGTATATGAATATACCATGTAAAAATAAGGGATAAAGATTTAAAGAGTTCTTATGTTGCACTAAGTACAAACTTCAAAAAGTCTGAAGAACATGTTGATTTATTTTTGGTTCATTTTACAATTATTTATTAAGTTACTGATTGGATTACTAAATAAATGCTTTTTTTGCTACATAAAATTTAAATTGCATAAATTTTTTGCACACACATACACACACACTCACACACAAACTTGCACTGACCTGTAAAACAGCTCAATATCAAGTTTGAGCTTTAACATCAAATAAATATTAAAAACTACCTTAAAATTCTTTTTAAAAAATTAAAAACGTTAAATTGATTTTGTATAACTGAAATTTTTTCTCAAAATTTTAACAAAGTGAATTGATTTTATTTTTCTCAAATATTTAACATAATTAGAATTACTTAGTGGAAGAACTTCATTTATTATCATACAAAAATTTGGGGCAATTAAGTGCTTTAAGAGCTAAACCTCTCTCTCCAAATACTGAACAAAAATTACAATTGAGTTTTAATGATTATATTATTTAATAAATTTAGTTATTAAATTAATTTATTAAGTTGTGTTTTTAGTGTTTTTTTTTTTTTTTTTATAATAAATTGTCTTGTGTCAATACCAGATAGTTTTTTATTAATATTTCTGCCTGGCACATTGCATGCTATATCTAATACTACATATCATTGAAAGATATAGAGTTTAAATCTTCTCAATATCTTTTAAAACTGTTATAATAAAAATATGAACAAAAATAAAAAATAAATAAAAATAATAAAGTTTAAATGAATAGAATAGAAGTTAAATTGTATAAATAATAAAACATTATTTTGAATCAAAATATAAGTTCAAATAGATCAAATACGTTTTTTGTTCATTTTTAAGAAAAACCGCTTGAAAAAACAACTAGAAAAGTTGCTTCTGGCTATTTGGTTATTATAAAACACTTTTTCAGCTATAAATACAATAATGAGAAATTTTTATACCCTAGAAAATCTCTTAATTGGTTAATGCTCACAATGGCTTTTTATATCCAACTATCAGAAGTTTACCACTATTTAAAATTTAAAGCTGAAATTTATTGTAAATGAAATTGTTATATGAACACAACATATCAAAAAAAAAAAAAAAAGTTAAATTAAAAACAATTAGCAAAACTAGATTTAGCAAAAATTCAAAAAATAAAATCAGAATTTAAAAATCATTTTAAAAGCCAGAGCTTTAGTTCGATTACTAGCAACTTTACCAGCTTGGTTGTAACTCTGTTATCTTTTTTGATCACTTGTTCTAAAACTACAAATGTTGATTTTTTTTAAAAGTGTTTTTTTTGTTGTTGTTGTTGTTGTTTTAACTTTTTAAATTTTTAATTTTTTAAAATTTTGCAGTTATGTGAGCTTATGAAATTGGAACTAATTCCACAGTCTGTCATTCATTTGCTTTGGCAAATATTCTCGTTAAAGATTCCACAAACTTCAAAGGAAGAACAACGTGCAGCGCTTAATATCCTTTCTATGCTAGGTGGTGCTGAAAAAGAAATTATACAGTCTAACATTAATATACTTATTGAATATGGTTTACAAGATAGTGATTCATTTATATTAGCACGTGACACTTGTATTTCAATACTAAAACTTACAAAAAATAATTCTAATGACCTAAAAGAGAGCTCTCGCTTGAGCACTGATCATTTGTTGTTTATTACTCTTGAAAGATTGCTTGTGGATGGGTTAAAAAAGCTGGAGACACGAACGTGGACACCATTTAGTGAACAAGCTTTTTCAGTGATTTACAATCTTGCTGAAAATCCAGACATTATTTGTGCAAGGATACTCAAACACTTGGTTGTAGTATTAAAGAATGTAAATATACATAGCATTGAGCAAGGTATTTAAAAATTGTGCACTACTGAAAATATTAAGTTTTGAAAAAAATATAAAAACCATTTTTTTTTTTTAGATATTTTTTCTCAGGCTTCCGATGACATTGCTTCATCTTCTAAGAACAATTGCGTTCATCAACGTGTGGTTGCACGAGTTCTAACAGCTGCTGGCCATATTTCTTTGTTGCAATTATTCCATCTTGATGTCAGTATATTCACAGAATTAAAACGAAGAAATCGTATTGAACAGGAGGACAAAGAAAAAAACGATCTAAAAGCAAGGAAAGCATCTAGAGCTAGCAAAAGAGAAAGTACTGCAAGCTCTATTATCTCAAAAACTGTAAGGAATTTTATTACATTATAATTTCTAATATTTAATTCTGGTGTTGTAATAAGCATTTTAAATCGCAGGAAACAGGTTTAGACGATGAACTAGGGGTAGGTGGGGCTGTTGTAGAAGATGCTGAAGCTGAGAACATCAGAAAAATATGTGAACGTGATATTGTAACAGGTAATTACTAACTTTCAAAACATTACTGTGAGAATTATGATCTCTTCCTTATGTTCTATTTCATTTAAATGTCAAGGATCTAATTTATTGAGCATTTTTTGTCCTGTGGCTGCTTTGATTTGCAGTAACCCTTCTAAGTATAAGCATGTAGAATTGCAATCAGCTGCTGCTCTTGCTTTGGGAAAGTTTATGTTGGTAAGGTATGATACTTTTCATAATTAAATGAAATATTTTAAAGCTGATAATGTTAATTTAGTACTGTTTGTTTAAATTTAATTTTTGTGTAGTTCTGAGTGCTGTGATGCTCATTTGCAACTAATGTTTACAATTTTGGGTAAATCAGACACAGCATCTATTCGAACAAATGCAATGATAATATGTGGCGATTTAACATTTCGCTTTCCAAACTTGATTGAGCCATGGACTCCTCATTTATATGCGCGGTATTTAATTTTAAATTTTGTCAATAAAATTATTTTTACATTGTAACAGGTCCTATAATAAGAAATATAGCAACACTCCCATAAGGATATTTGTAGTAGCATTCTTACACATTTTTAAATGTAGGAACGATATGATTTAGGGGTATAAAAAAACCTACTATAAATATGTTTATATAGTTAACAAAAAGAACTGATATATCCGAAATCCACAACGAATTCTAGATAATTTACTAATCAATAATATCTGTTGATCAGTAATTGTTTACGTTTTGATTTTGATCAAAACTGGAAATGTTTTTGTTTTTTTTCGATAAGGTGGGTGATAACTTTTTTTTGTAAACAAAGTTTCAATTTTTAGTTAACTAAAAAAAAGGAGTTCAAAGTTAGCTAAAGTTTTTTTTAGCAGTTTTGTTTAAGAAATCTATTGTTTTTTTTTAGATTGCGAGATGAGTCATTAGATGTCCGTAGCACAGCTGTAAAAATATTAGCCCATCTTATACTTAATGACATGGTTAAGGTAAAGGGACAGATCAGTGAAATGGCTGTTTGTCTTGAAGACAAAGAAGAGAAAATATCTTCAGCAGCTAAACTCTTCTTTTTTGAGCTGTCTCAAAAAGTAAGATTTTATCTTGTTATTATATAGAATATATGCAGGTGTGGCGGAGAAGCATGTTCTATACCATTTTTAGGAAACAAAACTATTGGTGGTTAATCATTTCAGAATCTATTCATAATTTATTTCTATAGTATATGACTGATTTATGTTACTATGAAACTACTGTACTGTGAAAAAGTAAGTTGTGCACTATAAATCAGTTGTGTTGGTGTCAAGAGAGGTGAATCTCTTATTAATGAATCTTTGTGTTATGTATTTCTATGATTATCATTTCTTAAAAGATTCTATTATTAGCTTTCTACGGGACATTGATGATTACAGCTTTCTAGGGGAGTTGTTAATAACATTTTTGTGTTTGATGAGATATAAGAGAAATTTTTATCTTTTATTTTAAGTGAATGATTACACAAATTTAATTGTTTAGTTTAACATTTTTCAGGTTGCTTTTTTTATAAATTTGTAAATAATCATTAGTTATTAAAATGTCAGTTTTAATGACTGATGATAATTTATTTTAAGTTTTTTTATAATAAGTGAATAAAAGCTGGCCGTTATTTTTTCTTTTTATTAGTAAAACTGTTCATAAAACTAATTTTTAGGGAAATGCATTATACAATATTGTACCAGATATAATTAGTCGTCTTTCGGATCATGATCAAGGCATTGAAGAAAAGTTGTTCAGAAGCATTATGAAGTTAGTTTATTACTTTATTTCCTTAATCAAATTGTTCTTTATTTTTATGCTCTTATTAAAAATTGTTCTTATGGTATTTCTTTTCTTTATGCATAGCACCAATAAATCATTATGCAGTATGTTAGATATGTTATGGATTAATTTAGATATCTTCTTCAATTCATCCAAAAAGATAAACATTCGGAGTCTTTAATCGAAAAGCTGTGTCATAGGTACAGGGTGACAAGGTATAAATATAAAACTAGTTTTCAGTTGTCGTTTTTAGAATTTTTAGTAGATTCCATTAATGTCTTTATAATACAAATTCCTAATTAAATTTAATCATTATTAGTAAAGTATATCATTTATAAAGTATATTGTATTATACGCAACATAGATTACGCTCCTGGGCATTGCCTCAAGTGACCACTAAAAATAGCTTTTTATCCAGAGACTGTAAATCACTTATTTATAACATTTCTGTCAAAAACTTTGCTATTAAAATCTGTTTATGGTGGTGTTGTTTATAGTGGTGTTGTTTATGGTAGTGTTGTTTATAGTGGTATTGTTTATGGTGGTGTTGTTTATAGTGGTGTGGTGTTGTTTGTAGTGGTCATGTTTGTGATGGTGATCTTTGTGGTGGTGTTGTTTTGGCAGTGATTTTTATGGTTGTGTGGTGAACTAATTTGTTGTCTGTATTGGTTTGGTTTAATTCCTCAATATTAATATTTGAGGATATTTCATTAATTAACGCCAGCACTGACATTTTATAGCAAATTTTTTTTTTGAAATGATAGCTTCAGTAAACATATTTTAAAATATGCTGCATGCTGCAAGACGAAAACAATTTTTTGAGTTGTATAAGCCTGAATCCTACAAATTAACATGGTTGTCAGTAGATTGTTATTAACATGCTTGTTAATAGATTGTTGTTAACATGGTTGTTAATAGAATGTTGTTAACATGGTTGTTAATAGATTGTTGTTAAAATGGTTTTGAATAAATCGGATCCTAACACAGAATAAACCCCAGCCATTTTATCAATTTTTGTTTACATTTTTCTTGAAACATGCTAAATCCGTAGCCTAAGGATATCGATAGCAGACCTTAATAATCTAAAACTTATCACGCCCAAATCCATTTAAATTTTTTATCTGCAATCGAATTTCTCCTTTTTGATGAGGCGATAACTGACCACATCAATATCTAAAATATATTAAAAATGAATTGATAGTTTTGCTCTTTCCTTATTTCAATTTTATCCTTAACGTTATTACGTTTGAACTGCATTGAAATTAATGCTGAAATAACTGCATTAAGCTCAACCTTTCTAGTAACCTAACCCTAACTTTTCTAGTAATTTACAACCAAATTATCGATATTTTATGCTATTATTGTTCCATAAAATGATTTAAAAGGTCAGCAAGAAAATCCGGCTATTTATCATTTCTTTTAACGACGAACACTTAGGTGTCGAATATTTGGTAATACTTTGCGATTTTGTCTTGAAAGGCTTTTTGATTACATTCATATATATATATATATATATATATATATATATATATATATATATATATATATATATATATATATATATATATATATATATATATATATATATATATATATATATATATATATATATATATATATATATATATATATATAGATATATATATAGATACATACATACATACATACATACATACATACATACATACATACATACATACATACATACATACATACAGTATCGGACAAAACAATTCAACCAAATAATGCTAATTTAGTTTCTTTTTATAAAAGTGCTGCATTTTTTCAATTTAGAGAAATAACTATGTAACTGTTTAGAGACAACGTTTTTCAAGTTTTATTCATCACAAAGTTCATTATTTGTAGACGAAAATTAATAAATTAATCAAAAGTATTAAAAAAAGATGGTTTCCTTCTGGACAAAACAAGTGCAACTCCACAAAATGTTGACCAAGCTGTATTTCGCTATCAATATTTTGTGGCGAATCCTTTGTTGTTGATCACAGCCTTGCATCTTCGAGGCATAGACTCGATCAGGTGATCAATGAAACTTTGTAGAATCGCTGCCCAGGTCTTTTGGATTTGTTCAAACAGTAGATCCTTATAACGAACACCTTCACCATTAATTCTGCAGTTGACGATCTCCCACAGGTTCTCGATAGGGTTAAGATCCGGAGATTGAGGCGGCCAATACATCACCGATAGGTGGTTGTCTTGAAACCACTGCTTGACTACTTTTGCAGTGTGTTTCGGATCGTTGTCTTGCTGAAAAACCCATTTTATTGGCACATTCCATACAGCATGAGGTAACATAACATCTTTCAGGATATTTTTATACATGAAACGGTCCATTATTCCATCGATTCGATGTATTGGACCTAGACCGTTAGCAGAAAAACACCCCCAGACCATTGCATTGCCTCCACCATGTTTCACAGTCTTATGGCAGTAACGTAAACCGAGGCGTTTTCCGGCCGGTCGACGTACACGGCAAATGCCATTGCTCTCAATGATGTTGATTCATCACCTGCTGAGTGATGAATCTTCGATTCATCACTGAGCAGGATAGTTCGCCATATCTGCATATTCCAGTCAATATGAGATGTAGCAAACAAGAGTCTTTTCTTCTGGTTCTTTAGTGAAATCAGCGGGTTTTTTGTAGGACGTCGAGAAAACAATCCGGCTTCAACAGCACGTAGTCTGATTGTTCGGTCCGATACAAAAATAAATAATCACGCTTCTCAAGGCTAACCGTCTTACATTTACCTTGTGATGATACAATAATGCTCTGTGGAACACAACGCCTTAGTTGGATGTTGACTGTATCGATGTAATGAAACACTTGGTGTATTTCACTTCTTGTATTGATGTTCTTTGATAAGACACTTTAATAAAACTCACTTCAATAAACTGTCTTGATAATACAGACTGATTGACTTCCATATACTGACTGAATGTACATGTCGGTTTACATGTCTCTTATATAGTAAAATGAACCTGTGTGAACCTGTTCTGGAAGATTCTAGATGCTTCTTTTTGATGCTTTTGGAAGCTTCTGGATACTTCTGGATGCTTCTTCTGGAAATTCTGGAAGCTTATAGTTCGTTTCGTTTTTAAGACGTAAAATTATGAGCACTTTTTAGCATTGTTCGATGTTGGCTGCAAATGTTTTGTCCAATACTGTATATATATGTATATATATGTATATATGTATATATATGTATATATATGTGTATATATGTGTATATATGTGTATATATATATATATATATATATATATATATATATATATATATATATATATATATCCCTACCGGCACATCTAGTTTCTTTTTCGGAAATAAAACCTATATAGGCACGTGTTTTTCACGATCCAGGCGTAAACCAAAAGCACGTGTATATAACGGGCAGTTTTACTAGAGTTTAACACGTGTTTTTTGAGGTTTTAAAGTCAAATTTAAATGTCGCATGTTTTTATCAGTGTTATTATTACAATATAATACTACGTTTCCGTAAAGGTGAAACCATTATTACTTTAACTGGTATTTATGGTAAATAGTAATAGTTAATTTCACGGAATAAAAACCACTTTTGATACGTGTCATTCTTTTTGTTTTAGAAGGTTTTAAAAACGCAACAGAAACCAAGC